GTTGATATTTCACCATAACAAGGTTTCAACCAAAATGATGTGTAAAGAAACTAAGGGAAATGCTTGGATCAAGAAATGGATAATATGTTCTCAAGTGGTGATAAGTTTTTAGCAAAAGTAAGGTTATTCTTTGAGGAAGGGGCAGAAAAATTCTAAATAAATCTGGTCAAAAACTTTGCAGCTGTGCAGAAATGTAAATATAAACCTTTTTTATGAATTACACAAAATAGATGTCAGAAAATGACAAATTATTGATTCTAAAATATTTTTTGATTTACAATTGTTGAAATAGACTTGGAATTATCATATAATATTGATTTTAAAATGTATGTGAAAAAGTTATTAAGTGGCAAACAAATATGAAAGGCCAAAGGAAACTCTGTCTTCAGACACAATAATTTAGAATGAAAGTTACTTTTCAGTCCTAAATTTTGTTTCAAAAGATGTATCATACAACAAGACTGCATTGCTTAACATGTAGAAACAATAAAATATTCATTCACTTATCTGTCACGTTTTGCAACAATACTGTGTATATTTTTCAGGACTGTTTGTTATTGTTTTACACTTCTATAAGTGTGTTTATAACAATATTGGTGCATTAAGTAAAATAATTGAACCAACCATGGGAATTGAATAATCATAACTCATTTTATTTATTAGGCAAACATGTACTTAGCTAAAATAAAAACCTAGTGTTTTTGGATATTCTTCAAGTAGCTTAAAGTTAAAGTTCAACAGCATAAAAATTAGAATAACATCAATTTTATTTGAAAAAAAAATTGATAGCTATAAATGACTTTATCTTACAACATTTGAAAATCATTGGAAGATGAAAAAATGTAGCTGGAAAATTTGTTTAGACAATATAGCATTATCGTGTTAAGTAACAGAAATGTTTAATGTTATTACTCTAGCTACAGTTATGTTTAATTTTTTAGAATGATGTAATGATACCAATTAACTTTTTATAAGTTAGTTGTGTAATGGTGTAATCAATTTTTCAGTCTTTTTTTTTTACATGAAAGAAGAGACTTCCATTATAATAATATATGATTTCAGATTAATCATTGTCAGCCATTTAGTCCTAAAGTAACATAAGTAAGTCAAACAAAATTAAAGTAACATTAATGTTTTCTATAAGTGATTAGCTCAGTCAGATTATAGTCCAACTATTTCAAAGCTTATATTTGTATTCCTAGTAATGTGATTGATATGAAAATAAAATCAGTTAAAAACAAGCACTTGAAATTCTTGAATTAAAATTAAATAGTTATAATTATGTGTGGAGAGACAATCTCTGAGGTGGACAGAGTGGGTATAAACTATTATGTAACTTTTCACAAAGAAAACAACTTGTAATAATTATTTAAAAATAATTATAGCATTGGTAAACAGAATGTTTGTTTTCAAAAACATCTTTTTAAGTCAATACTTATACAGTCATATAACATGCATATTCACTTATTTTAAACATCAAAAATATGAAAAACCTCTTTGTCACAAAAATTCTAACTTCTCAAAAGTGAAAATTGGTTCTCTAACAAGTTTGTGCTATAAGAGCAGCAGGTATTTTAAATAACACTAACTTTGATGAAAACAAATTTCCAAAGTCTATACATTATGCTAGGCTGTCTTGAAAAATTCAAGGTGCAAAGATTTACTATGGCAACATTTAAATGACATTTATATTGTTTTAGTAGCTTAGAAATAATTAGTTATTGGCTGAGGCCTTAACTGGATTATTGTGGACTCCAGCTGTGTTGGTTTTAGAAAACCTCATAAAACCTTTTATGGTAATTAATAGCCCAGTCAAGTAAAAATATTGACATCTACGGTTTCTTTTTTTGATAGTGCATGGTAGTGTAAGAGTGCATGACTGTTTTTTAACTAATTTTTGAATTAGTTTATTTAACATTTAAGTAGCGAGAGAGTTGGCTGTGGTTAGTGCCAGCCAGTTGCCTTCCTTCTAGTCAGTAGTTCAAAAATAACAATAATAACAGATAACCTTTGTGGCTTTTCAATAACAAAGACAGGGCTAGCAAGTTTAGTGTCAATGGAAATTGAATCCAAGATCCTTAAACCACAAGGAACCCTCAACCATCCATTATGTACTTTATGCTTAACAACAAACATAGTGGCAATATTTTGAATACTTTGATAGTTGGAATAATCAAAAACAATAATAACTGAATACACTGATTTCAGTTAGTTTATTGTTTTTGTGACAGCCTATTTAAACAGAATTTTGATTAATTAATGAGTTTATTTGACAATTATTGATGTAATTGCTGGCCATAGGTAATTAATTAAATTGCCCAACTCTGTCAGAATGTAGTAATGATAGTTTTTATATAGTGCATCATAAAAAAAAGGTAAGTTTGAAAAATCTAAAGATTCATAGAGTGCCTTGCAAAAGTATTCATCCCCTCTGCAAAATTTCCACATTTTGTTGCTGTCTGAGCTCACAATCATGAAACTTTCAAATAGAACTTTATAATTAAAATCTACACAATCTACTCCAAACTGTGAAAGCTAATAAAATGCTTATATTATGTAATTAAGTTAGATTTTCAAAGAATATTAGAATATTCTCAAATGCATAAGTATTCAACCCCTTTTCTATGGCAACCCTAAATCAGTTCACGTGCAAAAGATTAGTTTGAAAGATCACAAAATTAGTTTAATGGTCTCTGTATATGTGTAATCAAAGTGGTTTAATTTAACTTCAGACTAAATGCATCTGTTCAAGCCACAACTCACATAGTGATACAACAAACCAACCATGAAGACCTAGGAGCTTTTCAAACATGTCAGAGGTAAAGTGGTAGAGAAGCACAGATCAGGAGAAAATTACAAGAAAATTTCAAAGTTGATGATTATCCCTTATTAATATCATGAGTATGGTGAAGTCCATCATTAAAAAGTGCAATGTGCATTATATCACCTAGTCATTACCCAGATCAGGCTGCCCTTCCAAACTAAGCAGCCAGGCAAGCAGGAAACTGGTTAGGGACACCACTGTGAAGCCAACAGTGACTATGAAAGATTTGCAAAGCTCCATGTCTGAGATGAGAGTCAGTGTTCATATATCAACAATATCCTGGTCCCTACACAAAGCTGGTCTGTATGGATGAGTGGCAAAAAAGAAGCCATTATTGAAAAAGAATCATCTTAAATATTGTATGGTGTTTGTAACAAAGCATGTAAATGATGTTGGAAACGTGTGACAGAAGGTTTATTGTCAGATGAGACAAAAATTGTGCTTTTTGGTCCAAATTCAAAGTGCTACGTCTGGGTCAAGTCCAACACAACACATCATCCAGTCAGTCAACACCATCCCAACTGTCAGCTTGATGGTGGCAGCATCATGTTATGGGGATGCTTCTCATCAGCAGGGACTGGGAAGCTTGTCAGGATTGAGGGGAAAATGGATGGTGCAAAGTACAGGAAAATCCTAGAGGAAAACCTATTCGAGTCAGCCAAGGATCTAAAACTAGGTCGAAAATTCACATTTCAGCAGGACAATGACCTAAAGCACAAGGTCAGAGTCACACTGGAGTGGTTTTAAAAGAAGACAATGAATGTCCTGAAGTGGTCAGTCAAAGTCCCGACTTGAATCCAATAGAAAATTTATGGTGAGACTTGAAAATTGCAGTCCACCAATAATCCCTAACAAACTTGTCAAAATTGGAGCAATTTTGCAAGGAAGAATGAGGCAAAAATTACACCATCTCATTGTGCAAAGCTGGTAGTGACCTATCCAAAAAGACTTGCAGCAGTAATTGCTGCCAAAGGTGCTTCCAGCAAGTACTGACTTAGGGGGCTGAATACTTATGTCAGAAAGTTTCAATTTATGTATTTTCTTTGCAGGTTTTGCTGACATTCAACCTCCTTCACATATATCAGTGTTAAGTTTGATCATTAGAGTTTTGAATGAAAACAAATTCATTAAAAGAAAATTGTTTACATTATTTGTATTTCATCAAAATGGTCATATTATTGGTAGGAGTGAATACTTTTGCAAGGCACTGTATATTAATGATAGCATTTAAATAGTACAATATGTTGTTAAAAATAGATTTGGAAATGAAGTGAGATTTTGGTTCCTAAGAAAGCCTGGATAAACCCCTAATTTGTTTTTTTAATATTAAGTTTCATGCATCCAATAACCACATATAGATAAGTTTTATATTTAAATTTATTGGTTTTGAGAGACCAGTATAAGATATGTGTTTGTATAAATTTGGTGATCAATTACATTTTGTACATTTTGATAAATTTTGTTCATGTACAGATACATAGTTCTTTGATATTATTTAGAGTTTCTAACTTTATGCATTGTTTGTAAGTCTAAGTATTCTATTCACTTTTGCCATATTTTGGGTAACTTTTAGAAATCTGTAAGATTCCAAATAATAACTATGTTAGATATCAGCATATGTACAAGATAATTAAACTTGTTAATCTAAGGATATGAATTCGGGCTTTCACAATTAGATTTGTGTTTTCAATTTCTACATTTTGATAACTTTGGTAAAGATGGAAATTCATTTACTGAATGATCACATTTTAGATATGCTGTTTTAGACTGTGGGTGTGAAAGGATGTTAGTCAATTACATTTTCAATTACCACATAACTTAATATCATACAACTGTAAATAAACATAACAATTTGATTTTTAATCTTTGTACATTATAACTTTTAAAAATTCGAAATAATTTGTTACCAACCATTTTTATTTCTATGAAATAAAATTTTAAAAAGTTATTTTGCAGTGAATTTCATTTTAGCTTTATATTTAGAAAAAATAAAATACTTTTACCCTCCAGATAATAAAAAAAATTTCATCCAATGTTTTACCATTGTGGCTTCATGAGTAGAAGTACAGAAAAGTGATTGATGTTAACGTGATTTTACATATCACAAATATGTATTTCTTGAATACTTGTATGTTTTATAATTAACAGAAAATTGTAGATTTATGATTATTCACAGGATCAAGTCATTCTGGAAGTACTCTAGATAAAATTGATTCACCAGATAGTCAATGTCTTCCACCATACAAGAGTGATTCCGACGACAGGTTAGAGTTTCTGTCACCCCAAGGGGGTTATCGGGATAATTTGTGTCTTCCATCAAACCAGAATGACTATCAGGATATTCCAGTGTCTTTACTAAATCACCAGGTACAATTTTATTTAAATTTCTCATTTGTGTCAATTCCTTTTCAGTGTAATATTCAGTTATAGTATTTTCTACATAAAATTCAAATGTGAATATTATAGAAAGAGAATTTAAATACCTTTAACCATGTCAATCCCAACAGAGTCAGTTTGACTTAATTTCACTGTATGTTGTATATCTATAATTACTTTAGCTGTTGGCATTAAATCCAAAAATTTGTCATTCACCTTGGAATTTAACTTCTCTTCTAATATTACATGTTTTATAACCTAAGATTCATAAACAAATTTACCAATACTTGTAAGACACATAGTTTGCTATTTACATGTGTTAAAAATATAAGGACAATAACTAATATATGTAAAAAAATAGAGAAAAGGAATAAAACCTTTAAATGCTCTCCAAGTGTAGCTTACTCGGAAGTCTAACTGTTACTACTCCTAATAATTTGCTTCAAGTCAGCTCTGACAGTGTAATTATAAATATAAATAGAGCATTCAAGTTACATACTATAACACTAATAAAGTATGAGCACACAGTATAAAAAATTTTAGTGCTTGTAACTGGCCTAAAAATGTTTTCTAAAATAATTTCCGAAATGGAACTTAGCTCATCTCACAAAATTAGCTAGTCTTGTTCCGTGCTGTGCTCTGTATGCGAACTTTTTCTTTACGCATGCCACAAGCCTTCCATCCCACCCCCCTATTGGAATTCCAAGATTCCAACATGTCTCTCATGCAAATCATCATGTATCACCTCCTCACCAATAGGAGCATGATATGCTCATGTGATGCATGTGACTTCCTCTACACTCCTCTACCGAACTATCACTTCTCATTTGGCAGTGCTTGTGTTCAGTTGTGCTCTTTTGTTTGTTTAGTGCTTTTCATGTTCAACTTTGTTTCTCCACAAAGTGATTGTTTTTTATGTTAATTTGCTTTCATTCAGCCTGTTTCTTCCATTAGTATTTATTAGTAAATTCTAGTTGCCTTATTTTTTGCACTTGAATTTGGAGAACCTTTCTATGCAATTAACTCCAAAGTTAATGCTGCCACTTCAAGGGTTACACCACCAACCAGCATTTTTTCTTGGGCCTCAGGTGTGGGCAACCCGACTGTGGATTTATCTGCCTTTATATGCAAGGAGATCAAACATTACATGGGACAGCCTTGTTCCCGGACCTCACCCAGGCTCCTCCAGAACAGGCTGATCCTGTACAGTCTGACAAGGACTTTGTCTTTTTCCACCTGCAGATTTTACCATTCCTTCCCATTTCCAACCTGTTTAGTCTTTTAGGCTTAATGCAGTCTTTATGGATTCTGTGTCTCAGGTTTGTGATGATTTATCCCTTTCCTCTATTTCTTATGCACCTCATCCTTCCTTATTGCATGAACAATCTTCCCAACCCTTTTTGGCTTTTCCTTCCTCATCTGATATTTGGGTTCATGTTGGTCACTTTGCCTCACAATTAACCGTTTGAACTCAATGAACCTTTAAACCCCTTTCTGTTCATGTCCTGAGATTTTACTGAGTTAAATTCAAAATTGAATGAAACCACTTTTCTCTAAACATATTTTAATGGAATTACTATTATCAAGTACATTATAATTTAAGGTTTCATATTATCTAAATTTTATTCCTTTATTTTAGAACAAAAAATCTGAAACAGCAATTAAAACCAGTTTTTGCTGCCACATGATTCACTGTGGTTAAGATTTTAAAGTTTAAGAGGTTGTACACAAGAAACTATGAGTTCCTAATATAGACTGTCAGCATAGATGGTCAACGTACATTTCCAGCTGTCTCTCATTGGCTGGGGGGAACTTCCAAGAATTTCTCCCCGTGTGAAACAACATTCTAATATTTCTAAGTTTAAGGTCAGCCCACTTGCAAAGTCAAAGCTGTGTTGTCAAGTGACACTTTGAAGTTGAATGGCATGTTTATAACCAATAGAAAGAGCAGAGTTTGCACTATTCAGTTATAGCCTGAAGAAACCTCTACCTCTGTATGGATATGTAGAATGAAATAGAAAATAAGTTTAGTCCATTGTTCTCTTGAGTGGTATGTAATGTTTGGCAAGTGTTTGTTGCCTTATATATATTAATTTGCTAAGCAGTTATATTGCATTTAGATTTTACATTTATATCTTAATTAATTATGTATTTATTTGTGTTTTAAAATGCATATTTGAAATGTTTATGATTTTTATACGTTTAACTTGTAGTTTGGCTTACTAAAATGTCTAAGCAAGATGGCATCATTCACGTGTGTGAGTATGAGACTCGCCCAGACTTGCCCCATAATAAAAATAGAGCATCATGTGGGACATATTGTGGATCTTGGGATAATGAATAAATACAAAGAATTGGAAGGGAAAATTAAAAATAAACTACAAGTGAAAAACTAAAGACGTGAAATTATGCATATGACAAAAAGAAATTTGAAAACTATCCTTCAAAAATTTAAAAGGTATGTATGTACTTCCATTTCTTAATTTTAAACATTTTATTGCACTCTACGTTGATGATGATATCCAGAGTTAATGATATCATAGAGAAAATGGAAAACAAAATATAAACATTTACCTTAAAAACTTTTGATATTCATTTAGGAGGTTCTAGAGATTGTGCAAATCAAATGTGAAAATTCTGAGATCAGAAATAGTATTTTTATACTCAAAATAGAAATCACATTCCATGTGAACTATTCTGATTAAATAATGAATATTTTATTTTTCTAAAAGTACATAATCTTAGGACCGTTCAAGTCAAACTTTTTTAAAACTATTTCATCAACTAGTATCATTTGTATAAAAAAACTTTCATGAAAGTCGCATACCTTCTTACAATGCAAGTAGATTGCAGTCAAAGCGTTAAGTGAGGGGATTAGCATGCCGTTTCCCCTGCAGACTTCTAATTAATTTGCTCTTTCCTACCATCATGCTGATTATATATATATTTTTAGACTAGCAGTTAGGTTCCTTATTGCCTTTTTGGGGGTGGCTTTCAATTCATCTGTCAGTCTTACCCATGCCCAATATTCTTACTTGTATCTTACCCTTACAAATCAATTATGGTATCTTTCTTCCATACACCTCCTGTCTGAGGCTCTCCACAGAAATCCTGAAAGGTTTTCTGGAGATACCTTTACCCTTCTCTCCTCCACTTTAGCCCGCATGTTGTCTTTGGCTCTGGCATTACATACATGGTTTCTTTGTTTTTGGGACCTTATAGGTCATAATGCCGTATTGGCTCTGGTCCGTTTACCCCCTACATATTTTAGGGATTTACATATGGCCCTATTTCTGATGCATTATGTTTTAGATATGGTCTTAAAAACTAGTGCCTCTGGTGACATTGGTCCAGCAGTATCTACCCTTACAAATATCGTAGCCCATTTATCTCATTCATACCTCCAAGTACTGTTTCCTCTCCTTCCCCTTCCCAGACCAAACCTGTACTCGGGGTACTTCTATCTATCACTCTCCTTGACGATGCACCCACCACTGCTACCTGTACTGGTGACTACCCAGTAGGTTTGGGTCTGGTGAGAGCTTGGCTGTTGAAGTTTCTTCATTGTTGGCATTCCATCATTGGTGATTAATGGGGGCTTCAGGTTCTGTTGGAAGGATTTGTTGTGCAGTTTCTTTCTCCACCTCCCATCTCTCTTTACCTTGTTCCCTCCTCCTTGATATCCCATAACGAACCAGTATCTGTCAGAAGTCCTTCCTCAAACCCACTCAATATCTTGTCCTTTTGGGGGTCTTTTTTCAACACTGATATCAGTTGGGCCCATACCTTCTCCTTTATGATTTTGTTCATTGGAACTTTTGGTTCACCATGCCCTCTCAGCTCAGTCACTTACTGGTCGTGAGGTTCTATCACTTTTGGGGATGTAGTCTTAAATGACATCACTTATAAGGTCCATATAAGGTCCCTTCAGTGGGTGCTTCACGATTGATGGAACTTGTTTGGGATCCTTTTTCCACCCCATTACATTTCTTTTTTCCCTCCAAGACAATCTGCTTTGGTGGTTGGACAAAGCCCATATGTCGGCGGGCATGCCACTTCCTCCCCCACATCTGGATCTACATCTTTTCGTGGATGCATCCCTTCAGGTATGGGGGCATGGGTTAATCACCAGGAGGCTTCGGGATATTGGTCAGCAGACGAAAGCGCTTTGAATATCAATGTTCTCTAACTTCTAGCCATAAGTCAGGCATTATATCACTTCTTTCTTCTTGCTCGACATTCTCTGGTGATGGTTCAATCAGACAATTCTACTGTGGTGGCACATATCAACCACTAAGGGGGCACCTGGTCCAGAGATCTCTGTTTTCGAATGTTGGATCTCTTATATTGGGCCCATGCACATCACATTCATCTTATTGAGTGTCATGTGTCAGGTGCTTTCAATCTGGTCGCTGAATGTTTTTCAAGCCCTAACCTGATATATCCCACAGAGTGGTCATTATATCTTCTTGTTTTGAGGGATATTTGCCATAAATGAGGTTCTCTCTTCAGCCAGGATTGGTCACACAAGTATCTTTATGTATATTCACCCATTTGATTACTTCATTGAGTGATTTCTCTCATCCACTCCACTCTTTGTTGGGTCCTCCTGATTGCTCCTTATTGGCCATCTCAGCCTTAGTTTCCATGTTTACAGTGACTGCTACTCTCCACTCATATCCCTCTTCCACATTCTCCTTACCTTCTTCATCAACCTCAGTCACATGTCCTACATCCCACCCTTCAGATCTTGGGTCTTTACGCCTGGCTTTTGTCTGGTCGTTGGTGAGAAGATCCAGTTTCACACGTTGAGTTACTTCCTTGTTAGCTGGTCCCATCCGTTCATCTTCCATGGAGGTGTATCAACACAAGTAGAAGGTATTCCGTCATTAGTCTACAACTAGGGTGTTTCCCAATAACCAGCCTACTGTGGATCATGTGGTGGAATTTCTCACCTGGCTCTTTGACCGTGAGTCTTCAGTCTCCTCGCT